TGGATAATCTACATATGTAGATTCACATCATAGGTAGAGTGAACATCATTGAGTGTGACGGCGGGCATTCTATAGCGTGGGGGGATGAGCATAGTGGACACTAGTGGGAGAGAGAGATGGTGGAGAGTGGGGACACACACAAGTGGGGCAAGGTAGATACACAGAGATGGTGTAGATGACACGCATAAGGCACTTATGTACACACATTACAATTCATTACGGCGGTGAGAGGTAGCATATAGATGAAATTGGTAAGATATTAAGTAAATGGAGGCTTGTCAGCAATGCAGTGTCTTCATCGACGCCTTTCCTTATCGTTCACTCGTTTTCATCATCAATGAAGCACGAGGAACCGCTCTCGCTGAACAGTGCACAGAAAAAGCGCGTAATTGTACTTGTAGCAGCTATTTTGGCAGATCACCGCATTGCACTGGAAGTAGTCTTGATCAGAGTAGCGTTGACCCTCAGGCATCTCCACCTATCATGCACTTCAAAAATGAGATGATAATAATAATAATAATAATAATAATAATAATAATAGAAATTCTCGGGTTTACGAGACGCCATTTTCGGCATGATCAAATGTTTCCAATTTTTTCGTATAATATTTACAGCATATTCCAAATGTCAGGCAGAAACGAAATCGTGTTTTTAACCTCCATTGTCGTCCAATTCAAAGCCTTGAATGGGCACGTAATAGTTCATGGCCTCCTAAGGGAGAGCTCCGTGTACGGACTGAACCATGCTTTCTTTTCTTTGGGTAATTGACGAGAAGGATGATAATAGAAATATTGAAGCGGAAATCATACTTATAGAACGTAGCATCTAATTTGGGCTAAATTTTTCTATACATTGTAGCATTATAAAAAGGAGTACCGAAAGACGGAGGTATTTATTCATTTTCAGTTCAGCATATGTACATGTGAGACGAAACAGATGGAGTGGGAGATTTATTTAGTGTGTGTGTGAGGATGATGTCCTTGGTATTTATCAACTGGCTCAGGCGTTGTGTTTTAACTGTACGCTGAGCGTAAACGGGTAAAGAGCGAAAATGCAAAATAAATATTGGAAATAGGGATGAAAATGTTGGAAGCGACATCATTTGACTTCACCTTGCTGCCTGATACGTTCCCATGAGGCAACAAGGGAAGCATGCCCGAGTAAGAAAATAACGAATGGTAAAAGGGAGTAAAGCTGGATAGGTCCAGTCAGCGTTTCCTTCTCAGTTCACACATTTTAGTACGGATTTAAGGTACGTGCGGTTGATTGTGTAGAATACGAAGAGTGGAGACCAAATAATCAGATTATTTATATAACATGAAGGAGCATTTGACCACGGGACCATACAAAGAGGTTGAGCAGAAATCCATTACATCGGTAATGAATAAGAAGAAATCAGATGTCGCTAGTTACTTAAGGACCGTGAAGGGCAAATGGTACAGCATTTATCCGAAGTCGGCTATTCCACCTAGAATTTACGGTCTCCCAAAGATACACAAGCCCAAGGTCCCCTTGCGACCTATAGTGGATGGCATAGGCTCTCCCACACATGAACTCGCGAGAAATCTAGCGAGCCTGCTGCAACCCCTAACAGGGAGAACGAACACATTTGTAAAAAACTCTTATGAGTTTGCACAAATGGTGCGAGGGGTGAGCATCGAACAAGACGAATTGATGGTCAGCTTCGATGTTACCTCCTTGTTCACGAATGTACCCAAGGAGGAGGCGTTACGATTAGCGAAAAACTGCTTGAGAGGGGACAGCAGCTTGGAGGACAGAACAAAGCTGACAGTGGATCAACTGGTCGAGGGGATAGCTTTGTGTCTTGACATGACTCATTTCACATTCCAGTCTAGAATGTACACTCAAGAACAGGGTCTGGCCATGGGATCTCCAATATCCCCCGTATTAGCCAATATGTACATGGAAGAGTTTGAAAAGAAAGCATTACCCAATTTCCGTGGTGCCCTGAAAGTATGGTGGCGCTACGTGGATGACACTTTTGCGATTATAAAAAGGGATAAAAAAGAAGAATTTTTAAACTATTTGAACTCTATTGACAATGCGATAAAGTTCACCATGGAACTTGAGTCGCAGAGCGGTACACTTCCGTTCCTTGATTGTCTGGTACATAGGAAGGAAGGAACGTTAAAAACAACGATGTATCGCAAACCAATGGACACAGATGGGGTACTCAGCTATAGTTCAAGCCACCCAAAGCACGTGTACGCGGGAATCGCCTCATCACTATTTCACAGAGCAAGTGCTCTGTGCACGGAAGAAGAAGATAAGAAAGCAGCGCAGAGGGAGGCGATGAAAAACTTAATAGCTAGCGGATATCCGAAACGATTGGTGAAACGACAGCTACAGAAATGTCTCAAACCAAGCGCAACTCCAACCGCAGAGTGGATAGCGACAGTGGGTATTCCGTATAAAGAAGGAACTTCGGAAGCGATTCGGAGAGTACTGAATAAGGAGAAGATAAGGGTAGTTCTCCAGAAGGGTCGAACACTACAGTCCACACTGGTGCACCTGAAGGATACACTCCCTTTAGATAGAACAACTAACTGTATTTACGAAATTCCATGTAAAGATTGTACACAAGTGTATATAGGCCAAACAGCGAGGGAATTACGTACAAGGATTTCGGAACATAGGCGACACATATCACGACCTCCGCAAAATGAGCTAGAGTATGGAGCTCTACTCAGAGATTCAGCAATAGCAATGCATGCGCTAGACACGGGGCATAAAATTGACTTCGAAAATGTGGAGGTAATCAGGAAGGGATTACGATCAGCCAAACAAAGGCTGATTGCTGAGGCTATAGAAATAACCAAGACTAACAACTACGTGAATAGAATAGACGGAGTAGGGCTGTCCAGTGCCTGGCGTCCAGTCTTACTCCGGCCAGCTTGGTAAGCATCGGTGCATGGATCCCAAGTCGGAATGAACTATCGACCCACCCTCCACCAAACTCCGAAGTACTAAAGCCAAATTCTATCAGTGTCCAAGTTCCCTGCAACGGTTCAATTAAGATTGTTAACCACAATGTACTTATCCAAGGACCGGCAATTTCTTTCTTTCCTCCACTTGACCCTGACTGAAACAAACTACAGTGTGCCCGCGAACATATTGACCCTTGACCGCTGTAACCATTCATACATGAACTGCAAATTGATTCGTCTTTGTATGTAGTTTAGCCATGATCGCTATAAAATGCCAATGTTTAGATAATTCACTTCGCCTGATGAAGCATTTGTGTCAAATGCGAAACGTTGTGTATCATCATAAATACATTAACCGCTCGTTTGCCAAGTTTTCTGAAATGATGACTCCCCGATCGGTTCCAAATATGTTCCAAGATATCAAGTCAGATATTATTGTTTACTCCTAGCTTTATGCGTCGTAGCCACAGTGGCTCCAGTTGTAATATCTTACAGCGCTCAGAGTAGTTAAGTTTGGACGATAAGTTAAACAGGGTCTTTGTGAATGATCGCTACACGTTTTTGGGCACACGCGATCGTGCTTCCTGCCGCTTGTAAAAATAATCCAACAGTACTCTATCATAGGGAAAATGCGGGTCTTGAACAAGTGTAGTTTAGGTCCACGCATCGAGAGTGATTTTAAGATGGTCTTTGCATTTCTTCGTGATCTGGCCAGAGTGCTAGAGTACCGGGTACCTACGTATACGTATAGTCTTGGTACAGGGTTTACCACCAAGGCCAAGTGCATTTAGCGAAATTTCGCACTTGTACGTCAACACATTTCATTTGTCCGCTGAGAACGACATTTGCCAATCGGTGCACCACAATTCCAAGGCCAGCAAGTCTATGTGAATGTTTACTAGAGTATCGCTCAAATACCGGATATCGAAGGTGTACATAATTTTGTCATCCGCGAAGATATATGGCGTCCCAAACTTTATTTCTTCAGTTATATTATTGATATACATTAGGAAAAGCAAGGGACCTACCACACTACCTTGAATCACACCACTGTTGATCTGATATTGGGAGTACGACTATTTAATGTCAGATGTATGTGATAAACGGAGGAGAAGTAGAGCAGGGTGCTCCGCAGCCGACGGTTGGATTCTTATCTCAGAGACCAGACGTCCCTTTAAAGTTAAATTCTCTCCATTTGTTTGCAGAATATTGTCTACTTTGTACACAGTAGGTATATTTAAACCTAAGACTTTCATTGGGCTAACATTCCACCGGAAAGGACTCGTTTCCATTTTTCAGCAACGGTTCGATAAGTTTTGGTTCCGGAGTCGGGCTCTTAGCTAGTTTTTTATTTTCACCTGGCATAGATGGTTCGGTGTTTAAACTGCTAACATGCGTGACAGCTTTGAGCGTATCTTCGTCCGGTCTGACTTGGTTACACAGGAAGTCCCCTCCGCGGCGTAATGTGAATCCGATACATTAGTCACATCGAAATGGCTTCTTGTTTTCAGGTATCTGCATCTCTGATCACTTCTATCTAACCAGATATGAGCAGTCGCAAAACGAAACTACGTGGATCGATACAACAGCCGTGCTATCATTGGCAGTTGAACCACGGACGTTGATATCACATTGCTTCTCTGTGGAATTGCCGGCACCCGTTGTACACTTTTCCATTACTAGTTAGATCTGAAGGTTGGATAAACCGACTCACACTCGCACGGGCGCGAGTGGTGTACATCATCAAAACAGGTCAACCAGTGAAATTTGATTCGTGGTTTTCCGGTTCCGTCGTGCGAACTAGCTTTTTCTTCGACGAGCTCGTCTCCCCACATCTCACGGAGCATAGTTGTGTGGCGGGATGATGCTTTGTGTTGATATTAACGATCATTCATCCGGGTTAAATTTCTATTTCTAACTAATTGTTTTACTCATGTTTAGGACGGTTGTTGAGGAATCGCATGTATTAATTACTGGAAACCCATGCCTTTGTGAAGCCTAACTAAGCCTGAGCAGCACGATTATATTACACCCCCATCCTTTTGAACCCAGCTCCTCCCCGAGAGTTACCTACTTTGCGGAAGCTGAGTGGTCGGGTGCTGCGTTCTGCGATCCGCTCGTGGATCAAACAACGACACAACGGCTTGCCAACTCTCGGGCGTTTAACTGAGGTTGAGACTGATGTGCAAAAGAAAAAACGCCGGAACAAAGCAGTTATCTCCGATGCCTCCAGCGTGAGCCCGATAGCTGTCGATGCAGAAGAATGCAATCCAGTCGATCAAGATCATTCTTCCTCTGAAAGTAGCGATTTATGTTCTGATGGCACTTTCGAAGAACATCAAGCAGCCAATGGTTTTATTGACGGGATCAGTGACAGTTCTTGGTCAGGCGCTGATCGTTGCCCTACTTCAGATCAATCACAGACGTCTTCCTCAGAAACCAGACGTCGGAGCGGTAGTATGGCGCGCTTGCTGTGAGTCAATGTGTTTTATCCTGCTTACTAGGCCGACTCGATCATTGTTTAAGATTATACAGACATTTAACTATTGACACGAAATATTTCGTCATCGATTTTCTGTGGGTGGCCTCAACCTTTAACCGTATGTACGGGCTACATTTTCTGAGGTAAACTGATCAAAACCTAACACCGTTTTCCTAATTTTTCATGCGAACACACTTAATTGCAATGCCTCCATGTCTTCCCCGATCTCCAAGTCGGTATTTTTAGACAGTCCGAAACTGAGGTCAATGAGGCAGAATTATCCCTCAAGATGGTTGCTCACAGGCTTGTGGGCTCTAAGTGATGGCATGTACACTGCCCACGTGGACTAGCTCTACCGAACAAACGGCCAAATGATTGTGCTCCCTCGCACTTTCCTCCTAGTCGAACTACCACAGCATTTGCTGAGCACGCGCCACCAGAGCAATCCTGGTGTATCATTCGTTTTCCTCATATCTACTCAAGAGCCTGACGCTCACAAGTAACATCAAGTCATTATCACCAGTTTTTGTCTGTTTGAAGGCAGTTGCCAGTGTTTCTGAGTCTACGCTCGATAAACCAATCTGCTAACATTATCCATTTTGGTGACCTACCGTATACGCGACTTCAGATGAAAGAAAGGCATCCGCAGCACACCGGTACTCAGTACCGCCGCTTCGCTGTTGCGCAACCACCGCCAGTCGCACGTGGGCTAAGGATACTGTGAGGGTTACTTGGTCCCTACGCAGCCTCAACCCCGCGCCCTCGGATTACAAGGCAGACTTGTGATCCTTAGGACTACGGGCCGGCCTCAAATGTGACAATGCTGTACACCAATTTAAAAGTAGCCTGATGAACAAATGCATCACATCTCTCTTATTTCACTAATTGCAATACCAAACACAAATTTTCTACCCAACCGACCTTTAGTGGTCGCCTTTTTCGACTGGAGCGGGTTGCTTAATCGGTGTCCGGATAAGTGTTAGACGAGTTGGGTGCTCGGAAGGTTAGTGGGACTGGCACACTATCGGTGGGGTGTTTGCTTCCATCTCACAAATGAACTGCATGTTCTAGACGCTATGATGCTGAGTTATCTCTGGGGTATGTTGGGCAGCAGAAACTCTAAGATCTCACCGGCGCCAGCTTGTCCGCCCGGTTGATGGTGGAGTGGTCAGGCGTTAGGCTTGTGGTCCACGTTTCACCGGCTCGAACCTGCGGAGATGTGGGCGAAATCACAAGATCCCAGTCAGTGTGACAGCAAACATCAATACGGGGTGTCGGCGTACTACTTATGCTTACTTGTCTACATACGATTGTTCGCGACTTCTATCCCTAAGGGGTTAACGCGGATTGGAACCATCCACAATACACAATGCAGACAGCACTCGAGGTCACTTACTTTTTTACTTCTAAGCATCTGAACAGTGGATGGATACCAGGAGCTTCGGTTAGCTTAATTGTAGCAAGGAATGTGGTTCCACTTAGATATCAGTTTCAAGGTGTCTGCCTGGCTGTGGACCTCAGAACTGAACAAGGGCGTTGATGAATGGCGGATGCCCGTGAGATGGAGGCCATCAACATTAGAAACACGCAAGTACTCATGCGGCTTATTCAACACACGTGTCTAAGAAAAGTCCCTAAGTGTGAGACAGCAGATGATGAAAATGGATAGCTACCCCCTCTCAGTGACATACAATGTAACAATGACCAAACTACATTGAAGAGCATTTCAACCAGCCCAGTGCATCGCAATTGTTATTTGGGTCACATGAACCCATCCGGAGCGTGGACGTGGTAAGTCTCAGTGTCAACGAGATCCTGCACGATATAGTGCTACTTAAACAGGACAATGCACGTAGCCCAGACGACCCTCCACTCGTTGCTGAAAGACTGGCTTTTCTGTTCGAAACCGGACTTTAACTTGATGTGACGGTTTTCATACCTCGTCGAATCATTGAGCTATACTGGGCGGAGTCCTGAGACCCCTTGAGAGCTGCTCCTACCAAGTTGGTCAGTGGTTAGACGCCATACGAACACAGTCTCATAGTCCTCCAAGTTTGGTTTTCGAAGTGCGATGGCGTCGATTTCTGCAAAACCGGATTATTGCCACATCCGCTGCGTTATGGACAGGATTTTGAGCCAAAAGCTTTGGTTGAGAACTTTAATCGTTCTCCTGTCCAGGTCTGGGTGCCATGGCATTATCTCCGCTCACGTACAACCATGACTGTTTCTTCAAACTTCAATCATATCCTTCATCGGTCGTCACGCAGCTTTTCAAGGGTCGCCTTATCTGCTACATACATCAGAGTGGATAAGCAAAGACATGCTACTGCTTGCGCCTCTCTTCTTTCTTTTTCACCTGTTTCTCTTACTACCATTCCGACCCCCATTACTAAACTTCCATAATTCTCAGCTTAATTGACAACAACCGAAGTGCCACTGGAGTAGAACTATCTACACCCACCATCCCACAACACCCATCGGACGCCTATCAGCAACAGTCGCTTATAAGGCCACGCTGTCTCGTTTCCCTGTCGGCGTTCAACGTCCACACTCACACAGGCTGCACTCTCACGCACCTTGGACACAATGGGTATTGATGTTGTGTGTCCGAAACTAAGATCAATGACCTTAACGGTGTTATTGAATTAACTGCACCCGGCTTGTCCTCTCGCTACTGGTTGCAGGCATGCGGAGACACTGATGCAGCATTCACTGGTCAAGCTAACGTAGGTATCATTCTAAGCTCCAAGGCGGAGCCATCGTTGGTTGATTGGATTACGGTGAACAGCCGTTTATGTGCAGCCCGTTTGACGACTTCAACTAAAGTTGATTCACGAAGTAGTACAAAACGGTGTTTCTTTGTTATTTTCGCTTATTCTCCCACCGACTGCAGTTCAAATGCTGTCAAGGACACATTCTATCACCAACTGAATGTGCTACTAAGCAGTATTACTAGTTCAGACATTATAGCACTTGCAGGGGATATGAACGCACAAGCAGCGTGTGTGAGCTCTTCAAAAGTCCAGCAGGGTGGTAATTATGGGCCTTACACCGAACAAACGGACAACGGCGAGCGTCTGCTGCAACTGTGTGCGGAGCATCAGTTGTTTCTTAGTAGCACTGCTTTTAGACACAGTGGACGCCGAAGTGCCACTTGACGTCCTCCTGTAGCTGGCCAGCGATGGACCAAAATTGACCACATAGCCATAAGTTACAGGTGGCGTGGTTCCATCATGGATTGCCGCTCGTATTGGAATACCTGCGTCGACTCTGATCATGCCCTGGTACACTCGTTTCTCCATGAACTTTACCGGGAGATGCACCAAGCATCTCCGCCGATTGGCAACTGAGAAATTATATCTGCCCTCCGTCAGGCAAGTCTATCAAGACGCACTGCATACCGAACTTCCGCTGTCTTGTCCTAATGACACTGAGATCTAGTGGAATAGGATCTCGGCAGCCATGCACGACGCAGGAGCATCTGCTTGTGGTGCTATCAATGGTCACCGCACCGGCCACTGGATGCACTTTGCACCTTAAAGGTTCAAAGTGCTGCCACAAGATTGAGCCGACTCACCACCAGCTCTCACTCGAGATATCAATTACTTTACTTAACTCAGTCGCCATATCGCTCCTGAGTTTACTGTATGTAGGCACGGCTAATGCTCGTGTGTAGCTACCCACAGCACTGGTCACTTATGAAGACGGTGGGATGTGATCGTGTTGTTTTAAGGGCAAATTCCAAAATCTGTGGTGCGATCAGTGTTGCTAGCCTGTACATGCTGAGAACGTTAAGAGAATGGACATGTATGATTACCACTGCCTGCGAAGTGGGAAAACAGTGAGCAAGGTTGAAATTCATCATGTGGCGCTTGGCATCCGACTCTAGTGCAGCAATGAAATGCCTGTTGAACTCGAGTTGCCTTCACTGGTTTGATCATATGCTCCGCGTTCGTGCCAGCTGGCTGGTTCGGCGTGTGCTGTTTGTCGACACTGCGCCTAGTTGAGTGAAACCCCGATGTGGCCAGTCAATAGCAGGGCAAGCGAGCACAAGGAATTCCACGGAAGGCCTGAATCGGTTTGGTGATTGTTGTCTTCCTAGACTGGATATATATATATATGTATATATATATATATATATATATATATATATATATATATATGGTTGGCGGCATCCGGTTTCGGATTTGCCTGTCACTGTGGCCATCCACAGGACGCCTGTGCCTACAGAAGGACCATGGGTGGCTTGCGCTGCACCACCCACAGCTCCAACCACACACCCCATATCCAGTGTAAACCCGAAGGAGTAAGATCGAGAGGTAGGTGGATGGGAGCCTCGTTTCATCAACAGATCTGGCTCACGCTCCTTCACAGGTAAACACAAGCACGCTGTATTTGGGGAATCAAGCGCACACAAGGCGGTGGCTGGACCGTAGTCCGCTCCACACTGACTGCATGGAACCGCTCTTTGAGCCTAGCACGGCCACAAGAACCGTGCACCCCGTCCCCTCCAGCAACAACCAACTGTCTCCTGGAGATGGTGGGTAATAGACTGGTAGGCACCTTGTCAACATGCACATCAAGCGCAACTACACCGGGGATATCATTCAACAGCCAATCACATGAAATGAAATGTGGAATAAAATAAATCGAATAAACCCTACGGATATGCCTCTAAATTGGCATATGGAATAAGAGGATTATTAAAATAGCCGTGATAGATTTAGGATGGCAGAAAAAGGGATCAAGACCCATGTGTAAGAAGGAGATGAAAATAAGTGAAGTTAACCACCTTTAAGCGAAATGTACAATTTACTAGATTATTCGGATACTTATTAAAATGAGGCAAGAAAATAATACTCCGGTAAGGTAGGAATCCAACCATTTGAAGTAAGGAAACTCAGCACGCAAGCACGCGATTAGTAAATCGAATGCAGCGTACCTACAAACGCTGCGCCGGTTCTGCCTACGTTCTCAGCAGGACTCGTCGT